TTCCTGGTCCTGCAGTCCTTATTCAGGTGAAACTCCAACTGAAGTCAGTGGTTATTTTGCTTGAGTATGGACTGATGGATGAGGTCATAATTTATACTTAGCTCGCAAAGAAAATGAGATCAGTATCAGGTCATAAGTATCTAAAGACAAACAATAACATAATAATAATTTTTCTAAAGCAAGACACCAATAAAATGTTTCTAAAGGAAAAGAAACATGACAAATCTCTCATATTTAATTACATAAGTGAGAATTTTATATTTACAGCCAGTGCAATATTATGATTTGGCAATTCAAGAACACAATTTTAAAATTACCAACACATTATTAGTAATGAACAAGGGGAAATGAGATTTCAGTTACTTGCAATAAATAATAGGTTTTGTCAAAAAAAGCAAGTATCTCACAAATTATAAACATGCCTTTTGTTGAATGAACTTATATTGCTGAGTATTATAGTGGAGAAAATGTTAAAGAACTGTTCATTGTTTAAAAATAACTTCCTGTATGTTCTTGAGGTCAGTTGTTTGGGATGGCAAATCACATAAATTAGATGTCTGTAGGCAGTTTTAACATTTGCATCTGATGTTTGTGAAAAGTGGTCTGCATTTTTATTCCTAATTCTAAATGTCCCTCCTTTTTTCATTTAATAACAATAATAATTAGTGTTTTAATAGGTAGTTTTTCATATCTTCACAGGTTTACAAATAAATTAATTCTCACAACACCCCTGTAAGTCTGAAATTAAGTTGGTCATTGTCCTTATTGTACACCCGAGAAAGCTGTGATTCAGCTAAATTACGTGGTTTGCTGAGGACCACATAGAAGTCAGTGACAGATCCTGTATTAGAACAAAAGCATTCCGACTCACGAGTCTTTGCTTAAACCATTAGACCATTTTATCTCACTTCTACATTGCCTTCTTTTTATGGTAGCAATGACTTTTCCCTCATTTTATATCCCTTTTCATATGCTGTACCATCAAAATACTCACAAATTCAGTGAGTTAGAAATGTATTGCTGAATATTGTTCTCGTGTAAGTAGTTTAATATACTTATTTCCTATCTTCATGTAACTTACACAAAAATCAATGTTATTGTAATATATATACAAGAAGTGGAAGATTGGACAAATGACCAAGGAGGAGTATAAAAATATTGCTCAGGCATGCAGGAGTGAAATCAGGAAGGCCAAATGACACTTGGAGTTGCAGCTAGCAAGAGATGTTAAGAGTAACAAGAAGGGTTTCTTCAGGTATGTTAGCAACAAGAAGAAAGTCAAAGAAAGTGTGGGCTCCTAACTGAATGAGGGAGGCAACCTAGTGACAGAGGATGTGGAAAAAGCTAATGTACTCAATGATTTTTTTGCCTCTGTCTTCACAAACAAGGTCAGCTCCCAGACTGCTGCACTGGGCAGCACAGTATGGGGAGAAGGTGACCAGCCTTCTGTGGAGAAAGAAGTGGTTCGGGACTATTTAGAAAAACTGGACGCGCACAAGTCCATGGGGCCGGATGCACTGCATCCGAGGGTGCTAAAGGAGTTGGCGGATGTGATTGCAGAGCCATTGGCCATTATCTTTGAAAACTCATGGCGATCGGTGGAGGTCCCGGATGACTGGAAAAAGCTAATGTAGTGCCCATCTATAAAAAGGGAAGGAGGAGGATCCGGGGAACTACAGGCCAGTCAGCCTCACCTCAGTCCCTGGAAAAATCATGGAGCAGATCCTCAAGGAATCAATTCTGAAGCACTCGGAGGACAGGAAAGTGATCAGGAACAGTCAGCATGGATTCACCAAGGGCAAGTCATGCCTGACTAACCTAATTGCCTTCTATGAGGAGATAACTGGGTCTGTGGATGAGGGGAAAGCAGTGGATGTGTTATTCCTTGACTTTAGCAAAGCTTTTGATAGAGTCTCCCACAGTATTCTTGCCAGCACGTTAAAGAAGTATGGGCTGGATGAATGGACTATAAGGTGGATAGAAAGCTGGCTAGATCATTGGGCTCAACGGGTAGTGATCTACGGCTCCATGTCTAATTGGCAGCCGGTTTCAAGCGGAGTGCCTCAAGGGTCGGTTCTGGGGCTGGTTTTGTTCAATATTTTCATTAAGGGGGGAGGGCTAGCTCAGTGGTTTGAGCACGAGCCTGCTAAACCCAGGGTTGTGAGTTCAATCCTTAAGGGGGCCACTTAGGGATCTGGGGCAAAATCAGTACTTGGTCCTGCTAGTGAAGGCAGGGGGCTGGACTCGATGACCTTTCAAGGTCCCTTCCAGTTCTAGGAGATAGGATATCTTTATTTATTTATTAATGATCTGGAGGATGGCGTGGACTGCACTCTCAGCAAGTTTGCAGATGACACTAAACTGGGAGGAGTGGTAGATACACTGGAGGGTAGGGATAGGATACAGAGGGACCTAGACAAATTAGAGGATTGGGCCAAAAGAAACCTGATGAGGTTCAACAAGGACAAGTGGAGAGTCCTGCACTTAGGACGGAAGAATCCCATTCACTGTTACAGACTAGGGACTGAATGGCTAGGAAGCAGTTCTGCAGAAAAGGACCTAGGGGTTACAGTGGATGAGAAGCTGGATTTGAGTCAACAGTGTGCCCTTGTTGCCAAGAAGGCTAATGGCATTTTGGGCTGTATAAGTAGGGGCATTGCCAGCAGATCGAGGGACGTGATCATTCCGCTCTATTTGACATTGGTGAGGCCTCATCTGGAGTACTGTGTCCAGTTTTGGGCCCCACACTACAAGAAGGATGTGGAAAAATTGGAAAGAGTCCAGCGGAGGGCAACAAAAATGATTAGGGGGCTGGAGCACATGACTTATGAGGAGAAGCTGAGGGAACTGGGATTGTTTAGTCTGCAGAAGAGAAGAATGAGGGGGGATTTGATAGCTGCTTTCAACTACCTGAAAGGGGGTTCCAAAGAGGATGGATCTAGACTGTTCTCAGTGGTACCTGATGACGGAACAAGGAGTAATGGTCTCAAGTTGCAGTGGGGGAGGTTTAGGTTGGATATTAGGAAAAACTTTTTCACTAGGAGGGTGGTGAAGCACTGGAATGGGTTACCTAGGGAGGTGGTGGAATCTCCTTCCTTAGAGGTTTTTAAGGTCAGGCTTGACAAAGCCCTGGCTGGGATGATTTAGTGGGGAATTGGTCCTGCTTTGAGCAGGGGGTTGGACTAGATGACCTCCTGAGGTTCTTTCCAACCCTGATATTCTATGATTCTATATGTTGTTCATGAATGTTTGTCTCTTATGAGAAGCCCTTGAAGGGTGATCTTGTCACATGGCTAATAATTTTATCCTTGGTTGATTAACTGTATCAGCTTCAAGTTGTGCCATTTAAAAGAGGGCAGAATTGATTCCAAAAAGCATGTAATCTCACTATATAAGGAAACTGTTATCTTTTAGACAGATGTTAAGTCTTTGTTGATTAAGGAAATATTTGAGGCTGCAGCCTGATTGTTCTCAATTTCTATTATAAACACATTTTTAATATTTCTGAATGAGAGAATGCTTTTTTAGTTATCAAGAGAAATCTGGCATAGAAAACACTGATGTTCATATTAGGGTTTTTTTTCTTCATCCATTGTGATCTTGATGTTTCATTGTTGCTGAAAATTGTCTGATTCATTCAGTGTAACATGATCGTTCTATACGCAGGCAAAAGGAAATGAATTACCCTTGATAGACTTCCTTCTGGAGAGTTCTATTTCAATCAAGTATCTTTACCTTCTCTCTAATTTTGTTCATTTTCTTCTTTTTGTATGATTCAAGTAAATACATTGTAGAAATACAAAATCAGTGTATTCAACAAGGATGGGGTTTGGGGAATTAGTCCCAAAATATGCTTTATCTAATGGTCTGGTTTTGAAAATACCAGATCCTCTTGTCAAATAAGGAGCAGCTCAGGGATAAAAGAGTAAATGTGTGTGCAAAATTGTAGCATGTTGTCAGGGTAATATCCCTTTATAGATTATATTATAGATGTTGTCAGAGTATATTCCTTTCTAGATAAAAGCAAGAAGATAACAGAGATCAAAATTTGCTTCCATGACTCCAATAGTATGTACACCTAGACTAATACTTCAGAAATCAATCATATACTACAGTCTCATTTCAACTTTTAGCTTTCTGGTTCGATAAGTACAGAATTTTCTTTCATAATTTATGTCTGCATGAAATCATGAGCATCTTTCTGTTTTTATTTTAATACTGTCTTGTATTATCACCATGAATGTACAATGGATGTCACCATGGGAAATACTGTTGTTGGTTTCTGAAGTAATTATTACTTTGGCAGTAGGTGCACCAGCAATTGATCTGTCTTTGAGCCAGTTGTGTGGGGCCATAAAGAGATGCAAATGCCTAGAAACAAGCAGAGGGGGCATCAGAACCAATGTAGTTTGTTCCCCTCCCCGAAACCATGGAAGCTCTTCCACACTAGCACTGTGCAGTTAGGGTTCAATGGATATTTGATTGCACTTGAAGGGGGGAAACCTTAGGAAGCCTCTGCTCTATACAGCATGCTCCCCTAAGTATCCAATGGAAATATCCGTAGAAAAGTCAGTGTTAATTAATTCTGCTATTTGCAGTATTAGCAGGTGTGCTTTGCGTTTGCTGCTCCACTTTGGTGACGTGATAGAGGGAACACTGGCATCCTGGCTCTTAACAGTGTTAGGCTGACACAGAGTGAGTTACAGAGAGAAGCACAGGGGGTCTGGTTCTCCACATGGATGCTTCACGAGCTGTGGATTGAGATCAGATTTCTCCATGGCTCCTCGGACTCTGTGTACTTCAGTGGCTGCATCCTCCATGTAACCTCATTACTCTGATGAACGTATGAGACAGGTTTTTCTCAGCTTGAAAACCATAGGTTTTTACACTACTACTTCTCTTCCCTCTGTTTTTTCCTCGTTATAAGAGAATATAGGCCACAGCATTTACAACTGGAGTGTGCTTTAAATATTCTTCTTCCTTGTCTATTATTTTATTAGATGGATGAACCGTCTGGGTCTTGCAGCCATTGGTTATACACCTGATGAGAAGAATATTCGGCCAGATGAAGGTAAGGCTTCTGTGATTTTAATCAAAATTGACTTAGAGAGGTCTGATAAGAAAGAGAGGCTCCAAAAATGTTTCTGTTAACTGAGTCATCTCATGATTTGGACATAAATCACAGGTATCTCACAATGAGTTGATTAACTTAGGCAGTATCTTTTAACTGTTTGTTTTCATAGATATGTGTAACCCCTTAGAAAATATATTTAACTGTGCAAACAGAAGAAAAAATGAAATCCAGAACGATCATTTGAAAAAGCAAAGAAAACATTTTTAAGGCACTCTTTAGAAAAACAAGCATGATGAATAGAATTACCATTTTACATTTAGTATAAGAATGCTAAGTGAAAGCAAATGGCTCTGCATAGGTCTCTGTTAGTGCCATCAGCTGTGCTAATCCCTAATGGGAGAGTGACATGGGCATAGGGCAAGTTGCACTTTAAACCCCTTTTAGTCCCTCTTGAGTGCACTCTTCAGGTGACAGGCTTGGCTTCCTTCACCTCTCTCGGGGTGGAACCCCAAAGTCCAACCACCCTTGGACTGGATTTCTGGGTTGCAGCCCTGATTCCAAACTATGTTAACATAACAGGCCCAAATGTACTTGGCACCTGCAAGAAATTTTCTCTTTAGGAGTCTGTGACTAGCAACTGATTAAAGAGAGTTAAAAAGTTGTATCAAAACAAACATATTTTTGTTCACCCAAAGATACATAGTAAGAAGGTAAGAGGGATAAAACAACAAAAGGCCTATATGTCTCATTCTTACATCACTTTATTCTTTTCTTGCAAGTGTTAGGTAAGATCACTCAACCCAGCCATCCCTACTCCTGGCTGGGAGTGATAGACGACAGGCTCTGCAGTATTCTCTGTGTGTTTCTGTCTCTATCAGAGGCTCACCTCCAGCCACTGCTGCCACTCAACACCCCCTTCCTCCCCAGGCTGGGAACATTAGTGGTTTAGTATCCCCTTTGATCCCAAGTTTGGACCTGAGAAGAATAAACCTTGCTCTCTGACAGTACCTTATTTTTGCCATTGTTTCATTTCCTGTTTGTTTCCCCCCTAACAGTCTTCTTTGAGTTAACTCCTCAAAATTAGGCAGGATAATATCAAGCCAATAAACTGAGATGCAAGTGCATATGATGTTCATTAAAAATAATACAGATAACTCCCTCATTCTCCACAGAGAAACAGGGTAGTAGCCCTGCCCCCCATTTCTCCACCAGCCAGCAGAGCAGATCACACACAGCTGGGGTGAGGAGAAGGCACTCATTTAAAGAGAAAATAGTAAACAGGAGACAAAAATGAACTGAGAAAAAGTGTACTTTGTTTTTACATTATGCAGTCCAGATACAGTCTTTTCTATCATCACATACAGATTATGATAAAATACCCAGATTATGATAAAATACCGATTTGGACAATAGAATGACTTGATGATTAACTGAATATTTTGATATTGCGGTTTGTAAATGCTTTTGTCTTCTGTGAAGGAATATGCAACTCCTTTCTAATTATTACTGTTGGGGAAGAGAATTCTTCTATAAGCACAACACGGAATGCCTGATTTGATAGGCTACTGGTATACTGCTTGGGTGAGTTTTGAGGCATTGAGCTGAAAGCGAAGTGCCTTTCAACCATCCAGGAAGTATGTCCATGAAAGTCAGTGGGACTGAGGTTCCTAAGGTTATGCCTACACTGCAAAAGAAATCCCATGGCAGCAAGTCTCAGAGCCATGGTCAACTGACTTGGCTTGTGGGACTTATGCTATGGGGCTAAAAATAGCGGTATAGACATTCCTGCTTGTGCTGGAGCCTGGGCTCTGAGACCTGGCAAGGCAGGTGGGTCTCAGAGCCCAGGCTCCACCCCAGGCAAGAACGCCTACACTGCTATTTTTAGCTTTCTAGTTCAAGCCCCCAGAGCCCAAATCAGATGAACCAGGCTCTGTGACTCACTGCTGTAGGGGATTTTTTGCAATGTAGATGTGCCATAAATGTCTAAGTACCAGATTTTCAAAGGTACTTAGGGGCTTGAAGATGCAGATTGGTAACTAGTGGGATTTTCAAAAGTGCCTGAGTGGGTTAGGCACTTAACTCCCTGTGAAATCAATGGACTTAGATGCTTAACCTGCTCAGGCTTTTTTGAAAATCCCACTAGGCACCTATCCATGTCTTAAGGCAATGGTCACCAACCGGTAGATTGTGATCGACTGGTTGATCCTGGAGCCTCTGACAGTCTATCACAATCTCCGGCTGCTAAAAGTCCGGTGGTGCAGTGGGGCTAAGGCAGGCTCCCTGCCTGCCGTGGCCCCACGCTGCTCCCAGAATTGGCCAGCACACTCTTGAGGCCCTGGCGGGGGGATGGGGTCTCCGTGCACCGCTCCTGCCTGCAAGCACTTCCCCCACAGCTCCCATTGGCTGAGAACGGGGAACTGCGGCCAATGGAAGCTGCAGGGGCAGTGCCTGCAGAGATGGGCACCATGCGAAGACCCCGGCCCCCCCACCAGGGGCCACAGGTGCATGATGGCTGCTTCCGGGAGCAGTGTTGGGCTGGGGCAGGCAGGGAGCCTGTGTTAGCCCTGCTGCCTGAGGTAAGTGCCACCCGGGTGGGAGCCCACACTCCTCCCACACCCCAATCCCCAGCCCTGAGCCCCCTCCTAGAGCCAGCACCCCATACCCCCTCCTGCACCCCAACACTCTGCCCTAGCCCAGAGCCCCCTCCTGCACCCAAACTCCCTCCCAGAGCCCGCACCCCCTCCTGCACCTCAACACTCTGCTCTAGCCTGGAGCCTCCTCCTGCACCCAAACTCCCTCCCAGAGCTTGCTTCCTTCACCCCCTCTTGCACCCCAACACCCCAACACCCTGTCCCAGGCTCATCCCAGAGCCCTCTCCTACATGCCAAACCCCTCGCCCCCAACCCAGAGCCCGTACCCCTTCCTGCACCCCAGCCCTGCCTGCCCCAGCCCAGTGAAAGTGAGTGGGGGGGGAAGAGCGAATGACAGAGAGGGGGGGATGGAGTGAGTGGGGCGGGGCCTCAGGAAAGAGGCGGGGTAGAGCCTGGGTTGCACTTAAATTCAAAAAGTGATCTTGTGCATAAAAAGTTTGGAGACCATTGTCTTAAGGCATCTAAATATCTTAGAAAATCCAGCCCTTAGACGCTTCAGAGACTGGGACTTACACCTTGTCTATATCAGAGAAAGTGTCAATTATGCTTTGAAAATGTTGCCAATACTATTTTATGAGTAAATATTTCAATGAAACAGAGAACATTTTGTTACCAGATTACTGGAGTGAAAGTGACCAGGATGATATTGATGGCTCTTTAACCCTGAAACAGGAAGGCCCTTCAACACGATGTGACACCTACCATCGAACACCCTCAGTAAGTCATGAATAGTACATGCTGTATAAGGCCAAGAAATAAATGTCCATGCTTCTTTGATTAGTATTTTGCTTGTTTTGTAATGGCATTTAATTACATTATGAGCAGAACAGACGTGGTTCTCAACTGTAAACTCTGAGAATATTATCATTTCTAATGGCTAAGAGCTGGAGTGAATGTTCTGAAAATAAGAAATGGGAGCACATAGGAAGAAGAGGCTACTGCCATTTTACTCTGCTGTGTTTACCTAGTGTGATCAAGCCAATTTTTTCTTTAAAAAAGAAAAAAAATCCAATACAAAAGGAATACATAGATTTTTTTACTCCAGTATGAATAAAATGTCTTGTACTTGGGTCATCTCTATTACCTGAGAGTTTATACTGTATCTATAGTGTTCCATATTTACTGGAAATTAAGAGTTTTAGATTATATTCATATAATAGTCATGATCTGGAGGAAAAATACTTTATTTATAAGAAACATATCTTTAAAGACAAGTTTCTTTCAAAATATAGCATTGTGTAAAATACCCATTGTATCTGCAATATTTTTCTTAAGTGCTTTAAAGCAAAAAATAGCTTATAAAAGTTGTTGTGTACAGTGTATGGGCAGGTTCTGATAGCTGATAAAAGCACTGCTGCTATACAGTACACAGGTAGGCTGTGATATTTAACTTTTGTTTCTAAGTGCAGATAGGACTGTTCTCTATTTTTCTTTCAGATTTTTCTTCAGCGTGAATGACACGATCCTCACACAACCAGAACCAAAGAAAGAATGACTGAGGCAACAGCATCACATGGGTGAAGTTCAGACTGATTTTCACCCATGTGATGCTGTTTATCAACCGGGATACAGGTTAAGCCCCTCCCTTTCTGTTTTTCCACTTTTTTGCCTTTCTCTCTTTTTTTAATTAAAATAATACAAAGACCAAGCAGAATTTAATTAAAATAATTTGGATAAGCTCAGCAGTCCCCTAAAATTTAAATGTTTTCTTGGGTGCTGAAGTGTCTTTTTTTTTTTTTTCTTCCCTGTTTGGCTGGAACATCTGCCTTCTGAAAAGAAAGGAAATCCAGTTATGGTTTCTTTCGGGGGCTTCCATGTCTTCCTCAAAACACACTGCTGGACTAGGTGTAAGCTGGTTAGGTCTTTGCAAAACCTATACCAGTGCTATCCTGTCCTTTCCAGCAGGAGTTGTTCTTGGGCAGAGAATGTGTCAAAACAAGAATAGGGAGTGGTTAAAAATGTAGTGCTTACATAAAGTATTACACAGTTAGTTATGTCTTACTCACTAAGAGTTTATAGTGTGATATACCAAACTATACAAATCAGATCATTTGGTTAGTACTAACATATACTGAACTGTATCTGTTGTGGTTTGCCAATGTCTAGTCACAATTATGTCTTTATAATCAGATATTTTCATTCCTTCTTAGGTGAATTCTTCAAGTCCATTCCCTGAACCCAAACATGGTCGACACTTTTCAAGCGAATCTACCTACTCTTATTCTTCTGCGGAGGATTCCCGACAAGATGCCACAGGAAGTACACACTCGTCAGGATGCAGACCTCCCTATCGAGAAAGGCGCTCATGGCAGGACCTGATAGAGACCCCCTTAACCAGTTCTGGCCTCCATTTTCTTCAGACTGTTCCTCCTGACCCAGAATCCATGAGTGGCCGACCTGGAATGTCACCAGAGAGGCGAAGACAGGCAACATTACCAGTCCAAAGACGTCACAATCATGAACGAGATGGACCTTTCCCTTTGGTGGAGTGGCAAAGAGGATATAGTTCTCATAACAGGCCCCAGAAGCAACGTAGTCAAAGCCTTCCACGAAACAGAGATGTCAGGGTCAAAGAGCATGTGAAGTCTTCAGGCATAACAGAAGAGAAGCCTGAAGAGAAACTTCTTATAAAAAAGCAAAATAGTTTCTGTGAAGAAGGTAAGATTTTGAAGGGACTGTGACACCAATACTCACCATTGACCTCAATGGGAGCTTTGCCATTGACCTCATTGATGAGTGATCAGGCTTTATATGAGTATCTTTGTGGCAGAATTATAATTTCCAAGAAAGCTGAAAATATGGAGATTGCATTAGTTACTACACCATCATTTTGGTTCAGAAAGTCTATGTATGTTCTGATTCCAACTTTATTGTTGACCAGAACAATTGTTTTTTATCAATTCTCAAATCAGGAAAAGATATCAGGTGGTTATTCCATAGGCAAATTTCAGAATTCTTGAGCTTTTCAGGATCTTTCATTACCCTCCCATCCAAAGTTGACTGGATTGTTAAAAAAAATATTTTTTTTTTCCAGAAAACATAAAGGAAATCAGGGAAAGTACAGATGGTCTGCAAGAACTGTACAAGTCTTTGGAACAAGCCAGCTTGTCAGCCTTTGGAGAGCAGCGTCCTTCTACCAAGCAGGAATTCCGGAAGTCTTTTGTAAAGAGGTGCAATGATCCAATTATCAATGAAAAACTTCATCACATCAGAGTTCTCAAGAGCACTTTAAAAGTAAGCTGTTACCATTAATGTTTATGTTCAACATGAAATTGTAACAGTGTAGCTTCTTAAAATTTTCAGTGTTTGGACTTTTATTTTAGAGAGAGAATTAGGTCACAAGGAAACTTTGGCAGTACTGAGAGAAACAGAAGGTAGGGGACAGTTGCCAACCTCACAACCATTGCCAGTATTTGGCACTCTTGTTACCTGTGTCATGGAGGATACCAAGGACTGAATTGTCAAGAAGACCTAATTTACTACACTTTTACAATTAGAGATGGTCACTGAAAGCCACTGTGGAATCATGCCAACGGATATAGGGAAGACTGCATTGCACTATGTGAGCTGTAACAGTTCTGTGTATAGATAAAGGACCTCAGTGTGCATTGCAGTTGCTCTAGCACCTTTTGTTAGCACTCAAGGACAAATAAAAGGCCAAGTATAACATGTCGTTTAAATTGTATTTTTGAAATGTGCTGTGGTTTTTTTGGCATTTAACAGGCAAAGGAAGGGGACCTGGTAACTATCAACAATCTTCTGGATGATCCCAACTTGACATCAAAGAAGTTCAAAGAGTGGAAGATAAAGAACTATGAATTTTTCCTGGACATTTGTGAGTACAGCGCTGCTCTGAAACCTCAAAATGGAGCCGCTGAACTTGTAACCCCCGCACCACTGCTGACACACACACATTCATTCATTGAAACACATGTCTGACAGGACTAGCACCATGAACACTTGCTGGGTGCCATGAGAAATCCAATATGGCAAACTCTGTAATATTTGTAAATGTACTCAGCAGTACTGTAAATAACTTGGATAAGAGAATAGTGCCACAGGATGCCTACTACATTGCATGATAAGTATTATTCTGTTCTGAATTATTTTGTTTGCTATTATCAACCAACATGCTTATCAAGTTCTGCATTAGAAAGAAGCAGTGCAGAAGTGTAATGGAAAATATATACCAGTATATTTATTTAAGGACTGTACTAAAGCTAAGCTTATAGTAATGAGTTCTTACAACCATTTTATATATTTAGATATATATATTATATGTAAACATATCTACGTATATAAAAGGTAACATGGTAGTTTATATTTATTTTTTAAAATACCCTAAAATTCACCTTTTCACAAGTTTTTCTTGAAGGAAATATATAAAAAAAATACACTGGCCACTCTTAGGGGTGCACATTTTTTTCCAACCTTTCCAAGCAGTGGTAGCTACCATCTTTATGAAATTACAGAAGACCAGAGTAATAAAAAAAGTAAACTTAACCACTTTTGTGTGCCTTACAATGTATAGTGTATATATCCAGAAAATAGACTCTCCTTTGGCCCTATGGGCATACTGTACATGCCACTTTGATGTTGTGCTTATTTTTAAAAGAATGAGCTTGCCTTTAAAAGCAGTGGCCATAGGCATGCAAGTGTGGCACAGAAGAGGTTAAGATACAAATAGAAGAAACCTGGTTGTTCACCGATGCTGTCACTTGAACTGACTTTTCTATCTACTTTGAAGTGTTTCATCGTAAAAGAAAAACATCTGCTTCTGAAGATGGTAGCTATGGCAGTTTTCATAATCACACCACTGTGAATGTAGTGCCACAAACCTGTGAGTCATAATTATTAAAATATTGTTATCTGAGGCGTCAAGACTGAGAATTAAGTAAAAGATTCTTGAACTGATCAATTGTTTGTATATCAGACTGTCATAGAGCTGGGTAAAGAATTCATACTGTTCAAAATTATTCACCATATAATTCTTTATCTGTAGATACTTCATGAACAAGTTAATTGCAAGTATTCAATTCAGTATTTGAAATTCAATCTGTATTAGTTAGTTTTAAATGGATGCATAAAATCACATGGTTTCTTTCTGTTCCCTGCTTAGAAACTTGAAGAATCAGGTTTTTGGAGTGAATAGTTGCATTTATGAAAACAAAATCTGCTTTCCATAAATATTCTTGAATATGCACTTAAAACTCAAGTTCCTGCTAGTAAACTTATTTATTAGAATATTCTCAGAAAGCAAACAGAACAGTCAAAGCAATTTCATATATAAATTCGAATAAATATTTGCAGAAAAATGTTTTTGCAGTATTTGCCCAGTTCTAGTTTCACAAAAGAAAACAAATTGTAAAGTTCAAATTATTTGTGATATGAAATGAAAAAAAAAATGGCTCAAGGAGATAAATTTACTTACTTTATAGAGACAAGAATTTAGTGAGAAAGCATCCTTTTGTTTAGTTCATTTACGATACAGTACCTGAAAAAAAGGAATGCTACTCACTTATTTTTCTGTTATCGCTATTACACCACCATTTATTTGAACCACAATGGACACAGTGGTAAAAAAATTCACCCTGAAATAATTCCAAGATATAGTTATATTATTAGTAGAAGAGTATTACTGACCGTTATATTGGGTTCTCTGCATCACACCAGCTCTTGAATCATGAAATCATTGCACTACAATTGTAATTACATTTAGATAGAACATACAAAATAAGTGCATTTAGGTTCCTAATTCGGCAAAGCAATTAAGTCCATGCTAGGTCCCATTCAGGTCAATGGGCCCGTAAGCATGGGCTTAAAGGGGTATGATCCTGCTGCTGCTTAAATTAATGGCAAAATTCCCATTGACTTCAGAGGAGCAGGATTAAACCCTAAGTGCTCTGCTGAATAGTGATGGATTTAACCATGCACTTAAAGTTAAGCCTGTGCCTAAGTGCTTTGCTGAACTGGAGCAATAATGAAGGTGCAGGGAATAGACCGAGAAAAACTTGCCATCACACATTCACCAAAATCAGAGTTGCGATATTCATGCAAACAGTAAACACAAATCTGAATGTATTTACTATGTGAACATTTTAATTAGTGCACCACTGAATAGAAAGAGCATGAGAAGAGGTATCTTTCTAACTTTTGTTCATATCAGATCTATAAATATTATAGATATAGATATAGATAGATATATATCACTATTTTTTTATTGCTGTCCTCCATATGGTGTGGAAGGAGTATTATGTATTGAAATAAGCAATGGTGTAAGGTGGAAAAGCCACTTTGAAATTGTACTGCATACTGTATGTGCATTAACAAGAAGCTATAGATAGTCACAGAATACTAATTAAATGGATTGTGCTTTTGGTGTTCTTACTGAGATTTAAACATCTGCATTTTGTTTCAAACCCAAACCACAGTCTGTGCTTTTGTACTAAGATTTTAAAACAATACTCAAGAGGGATTCCATTGTATTGTAACCCAAAGATGAAAAAATGCCACTTGACTGGAGAACATGTTAAATGAAGTTTTCGGTAAACATTAAAAAGTGAACTTACACTCTTCTTCTCAAATATTAATTGGATAGAGCTAAAATAGAAAAATAATATTTTTTCTTAGTGGATATGTGCCTCCAAAAATAAACAAAAATGATAGCTAAGAGACTGGATCGCAACCTTCATTTCTCAGAGGGTTTAGTATAATTAAAAGAAAAATAATCAAAGGTATTTCTGAAAGATAATGAGTGGCTGAGATTAGACTAGGCCATAAAACTAATCCCTCCCATGGCTAAGAGATCACAACTTCTTTTGATCATATTTTCTTAAAGCTTTCCTCGGCATGAGTCTATTCGTTTTGAAGTTCTAAGTGATATGAGTCTATCTTTTACTCTTGGAGAGCCATCCCCATCAAAGAAGCTGAAATGTGTTTTGGTTATTCAGGATTTTAAAAAGTGAGCTAATAAGGAAAATGAACTATTTTTCCTTTTAGTATACTCTGGAGAGGTTTCTCATGGCTGGGGTTGAGACAAACTGGGAGATAGGTTTGGAGCAATGCTTAGTCCCTAGAACAAGGAAAAAAATATTTCTAAGTCCCATAACAGTATTTTTATTCTTTTAGCTTTTACAAATATCACTAACACGTCAATAAAGACAAAGAATTTTGACACATTTACTTACATGCATACAAAATTCTGTACAATAAATAAGAATCAGTTAAAGCTGATTTGCTAAGAAAATGTCAACCAATGTATGCCCCTCAATTTCTGTTTAATATTAGGAGAAGCAGAGTTTTACTTTCTAAACCAAACAAGACAAGACTTTCTGTATTTAGGTTTAAAAAAAAACACTTGAGAATAAAGATGTGGAGTTCTTTAAGTTAAAATAAGAAATTGTTTTTAAAATGTGAATTATACATCCTACATTTTAAAAATAGCCTCCATCTTTTCCACTGAATAAAATAAATTACTAGGCTGGTTAATACAGACATTTTGTTTGACATATGAGGTCAGATATTTGGCTCTGCTTCTGCCTATTTTGCCCTCTCAGGCTGTGCAAGAAAGTCAAAAAGCTGCCCTAAAAGAGGCTGTTAGAAATTTATCTTGGCATAGAAGAATCTCAGAAGAATATAGACAGATCTACTCCACCAGTTCTTGCTCCCAGTGTAAAAGGTGTCATAAGGGCAGGGCTAGGGAACACAGCATTCCAGTGAACCTTGTGGCATAATGGCACTGAGGCTGTTCAAATTTGTGCTCATAGTTGGCTCAGCTCCTATCCAGCCCTGAGGTTCGGGGAAGACAAAAGATGCCTTAGACTTAGAGCCATCTGCCTCCCCACTGCTTCAGCTGTGCAAAGCTCTGCTCCAGTGCAATGAGGTTTGGAGTCCTGATCCAAACACCACATATAGTCCTGCTGACTAACGCCACATATAGTCCTGCTGAAATCAATAAGGTTGCATATGAGTAAGGGCAGGATTGGCTCTCTCTTGACTTCAATGGTGGCGCAAAATCAAGCCCAGAATCAATATATAATATTTATTATTTCAACAGAATTCCTGCCTGAATATTCAGATAAATCCTGTATTCTTATCTTCAACCACATAAACAATATGTTTGGATGTATTTTATTTATTCAAATGTTTTCAAAGTTATCCAAACACTTTGAGCCTTCATTCAGACTTTCTGCCAGTAATATTTTTAACCAAAGATGTCATTCAATCAGCATGGCTTTCCTGCGACTCCACAAACTTCAGTATGTCTTTTTGTTGCTAGATGCTCTTTTTGTAAATGATTGTATGCTTTTCACCAGCCACCCTCTTTTTTTATTATTGTTATTCTTCCATTTCCTCTAAATACAGATCTTTGATCATCCCGATATCTATCTATCTCAGTAGCACTTCCTGAAGGGTTTGAGACATTTTTTATTTTGTCATATTATCAAATGAAAATGTCCCTGAACTCATTCTGTTTAATAAAAAGAAATAATCAAAGGAAAAGAGAAGCTCTAACAAGTTGCAACATCAGTATTCTTTAATATAATCATGGAGCACAGATGTTGAGTCAGATTTTATCTCTTATCCCAGTTCCTACATGCAAAAGCAAATACGGGCCATAGCTGTCACACAAAGGGGGAGACAACAGTGTAGAGCTGTTATCATGGGTATCAGAGGCATTATCTCCATAGTGCAATGAAGATTCTGGACTGTGACACAGCCGCTAGACAAGCCATCAGGAGGCTCCTGTAAATTAGAGTAGCTCTTGGCAGCTCTAATTTGCCTTGGGGCCTGCACTGACCCCTCAGTAACCTGCAGTCCTGAGGGTTCAAAGGTGAATTAAAGTCATCTTCCCCCCCCCCCCTTCCCCCCGGGCTGCACTTTCTCAAACATTGACAGGAGATTCTTTCTTTCTTTCTTTTTCTTTAGGCCTAAGAACC